TCCATGTCCGTCAAGGTGCCCATAGCAGAGGGTGGGTGATGATGAGGACCCAAAGAGAGCTTGTGCTCCTGCTGCATGCGTTTGTATTCTGAGTGTCTGACCTGGCTAGGTAAACTATTTCCAATTTATTTCCAATCTGCATGTGCTCTGAATTTGAATGAGCAAATAGGGCTCCAGCCCTGAATTATTCCTGGCCGAATCTCTGATGAAAGATGCAGCTACATGCAACATTCATTGCATCTGTCTATAGTCTGCTGCTGACAATCTCTCTCCAGAGTTGCACATTTAATATTACAGAGAGATAAAAAACCACCCTGAATAAAAATTACCATGTTATTTCATCCTTTTCAGAAAAAAATTCTTCTCATATCGTGCCATATCCTATCATAAGCATTTAGTTCTTTGCCTACTAATTTTAAGCCAGATTTGAGTCAAAATCTTTATATAGCTGAACTGATGGGCTACTTAGCTCACGTTCTGCCTAACTTAACTATTCTTTTTTGGGATTACTTTTTGTTTGTTCCTTCTATTAAATCCTAGAGCTTTTTCTCCTGGAATTTTCTAACAGCTACAAATATCTACATTTCAGTATTAAAATTGTGCACTGCTTTTCCTCCTTTGCCAATGCCATATACCCTTACTATGAAGATGTTAGCGTTTTGATACAGTAGTTGAGCAGGAGTGGTATTCCTACTGTTGCACTTAGCTACTTGGTTTTTTTCTTACATTTTTATTCTTGCTTCTTTCTTTAGTAAGAGTGTAGTTTTTGATGAGTACTGATACCTTGGGTTCTTTTCAGTCTAAATATCCTATAGCAAAATGTTTCGCAGAGGAAAAATTGTTTTGTGGTAGCATTTTCCGAGTTGCACCTGAAAATGAATAATGTACCAAACATGTTGGGATTGTTCCCTATGAGTAAGATTTTCATAGCAACCGCGGGGAGCTGGATGCTGCGGATCCCCGCAGCCGTTGTGCTCCCTGACACCCCTGGAGGCTGCACTGAGCAAAATGCAGCCGCGGCGTCGTGCCACATTCAGAAAAGCGCCTAGACGTGAAATGAAAAACGACGTTTCCCCCACAGACAGCCCTGTTCTAATAGCTTTCCTTACCCTGCGTGACATTTTACCTGCTCCAGCTCAGCAATGGGATTCATTAATATTTTAATCATTAATGACCCCGGAGCTAAATCCCAGGCTGAGGATTGAGCACGGCACGCTGTTGCAGGAGGGTAACGGGGGCCAAAGCCCCAAGATTTTATTTATCAATCCCCAGCTCTGGAAATAAACACAGGGGTTTGGAGGCTTGTTACTTTTCCTGGGTGCTTAGTAGCATGTTAGCTGAGTAAAGGCAATCGAGCAAGTGGCTGGTATCAGCTTCCTCCTTTGGTTCAGAGGACGGGCAGTGTCCCTGCCTCTGAGAAACAGCTCAACCTGGACAACGCTCTGAAGCAGGCTTCAGCGCAGGGAGCCGGCAGCACGCCTCGAGCGCCCGCAGTCGCAATCCTGTGCTCTCGTGCATGACCCCAGTGAACGGCTGGGACGGTATTGCTGTCCATGAGCATTTGTGAGATCTTGCCAGTGCTTTGGGGCTTTGGGGCTGAGGGAAAAGTCTTCCTGACCCCCTCTCCTCCGCTCTGGGGGCCTGAGTGCCCGGGAAGCCCCACAGGACTGTGATTTGGCAGGGTTGGTCGGGGCTGCGGCTCCTCCCGGTCAGCAGGAGCTGGGATGCTTCGCACTCGCTCGCCAGCTCCCAGCGGCTCTGGTGGCACCACTGTCCATGCAGCTCCGCCAGGCTGCAGCTCTGCCCCCGCTCAGGGCCGCTGGGAGCTTCTGCTCTTTGCAGGGGAGCCTGTTCCCCTCTTTCATTTCAGTCCCCTGGGCCCCAGTTTCTTGCCCTTGGGGACCCACCCAGTGGGGGGCAATCACAGCTTTCCTCTGAAATAAATCCATGCTGCAATTTCTCGTGTGCTGGGAAACACCTTGCCGGGTTCACTGTCAAGGTTCACCGTGTTCGCTGGGCTGGGCTGAACCCTGCCACCGGCCGCCTCCGTGTTTCCTAGCCCGGATGCACCCGCTGCACACGAGCGGCGGCCAGGGGAGGGCTATGGCTCTGCGACGAGAGGGGTGCAACGGCCGTTACCTAAATTACCCTGCGCAAAACACGCTGCTTGTTGCAGCGATGCAGATACCCATCCCTTGCGCCTGTTAAACTGAGGTGCATTGCGTATCCTCTGTGCACGCCAGCGTCCAGAAGAGGAGGAAAAGGCTCCACAGCAAGCGGCATCTCCTTTGCCCACCGGTGCTGAGGAGGAGGAGGAGGATGGACAGAGCTGAAGGCACCACAGGTTTTGGCTGGTGTTGGTAGGTTGAGCGCACTTAGACGTGCTGCTTCAGCACGCTCTCCCCACGTTAAGGAATGGGTTTCAAAGGGATGGAGCAAGAGGAAACTCATATAAAGCTGTGGTAGCCAGCCCTGCTTTGGGCTGAGAAGATGCAGTGGGGGGCTTCTCAGGCTCAGTTCTTTTAAAAAAAACCCTGCCATGTAAGACCAAAATGACCATCCTCTGTTCACACAAAACTCAGGCTATTACCTCCTGGGGTGTAGGTTGGCAGCACTTCTGCTGCAGCCACCAGAGGGTTTGCTGAAGAGGTGAGGTCTGCGCAGGGAGGATCTGAACGTGTCTTCAGTTTTGGGTATTCCTGTGGACTGCCACGACCGCGGCCACCATGCCGCGGCTGTACCTGCTCCCGCGCGGGCTTTCCCACACCTGCCTCTCCTTAGTGGTATGGGGTCATCTCGAAGGGAGCCAGCGCTCCATCACATACCAGGTGCTTTAGAAACATGAGGCTTCTTGAACTGCAGAGGTCATTTAAGGAGTAGGCAGAAGGAATGGAAAGACTGCAGGAAAATCCCAAAAGTGGGGTGGAGACGGTGGCTTTTTGCAAAGTGACTGCTTGTAAAGATTTTGCAGTTGTAAGGATGAGGTTGCATATTTTGTGCAGACAATATTCTTAACGTGTGAAACGTGCTAAAAATCAACCGCTGAAAGCACCTGGATATTTCAACCATAAATAGATTGTATGAAAATAGCTGCAGAGCAGATGGCCTCCTCCCTGCCCACCTTGCCGCGTTTGAGGGCTGGCCAGATTGCTGTGTCAACGCACGTAACCAAAAACATGCTGTCTTCACAGCTGATCGTCTGCAAAGGCAAGGGTTACCTTGTGCAACTCGTTATCTGCCACACACTAACACTCCTGCGGACACTTATTAGTAGATCCTAGGGAGATAACGTGTCACAGGCTTGCCTCAACTTGTTTAATGTCCCGGCAAAGCAAATGACCTGTTCCAGAGCGCAGCCTCTAAGAAGTCTGCTTAGATAAATAAATAAATAATTAGATAAATAGCGAGCTGAAATCCGATCTGCAATGGAAAGGACCCAGGACGCGGCGGGCTGCCTTTGCGAGCTAGCTCGCAGCGCTGTCGGGAGCTCAGCAACGTGCGACAGAGTCTGTTTCTCGCTCTCGCTTCTACCTTGGATGCTAAGACCAAACATCACCGTTCTGGGGATTAACCAGGATGTAAGGCTTTTCCTGCCGCGTGGCATGGTTCAACAGATGTAAAAGGGAATTATCGCTCCAACATGAAATCAAGACTCTCCCCCCCCCCCACCCACCCCCCCGGCTGATGGCAGATTACTAAGCCTGAATTCCTGTTTAATTTTAGTGTGCTAATTGATGGGATAATGAGCATTGATTATATGTGTTTTGGCTGCGTCATTGCAATTACAGGCTGTGTTTTATTCATGAGCCAGCCCTAAAGAACGAGCTAGAGATCTAAGACAGCTTAAACCTCTCAGAAAAAGGCTCTGAATTGTTTGAGTAATGACACTCTTAGATGGAAAATTAAAGGTTCTCTTTTCCCATGCTTTTTAAGATAATTAAAATCCAGGAACAGTAAGGTGGTGAACATCCTTATTCATTAGCCTTCAGTAATTTAGCTTCTACTAAATGAGGAAAACATTTTAATTCTCTAGGCCATCTGTTGCAGTCTCCTTTGAGTGTCCTGTTACATAAAGTCTCTTTCTGGATAGTCTTGACATCAGGATTGTATGCTTTCACCAGGAGTGAAGAGCTGGAGAAGACAGCTGAATTCACTACCTTTTAACAGACCACCCTGGAATTAAAACAGCCGCTTGGTCTTTTAGGTCGGAGTTATCCTGCCTAGCCACTTCTAGGCAAAGGATCCACAGCAAGGAGAAACGCGCATAGAGATATAATGCATGACAAGCTGTGTGTTTTCTAATAGCAATATTCTTGCCAATAAATAGCAAAGTTCATCGGAGCCCTTCCAGTTCCCCTAATGTGCGACTGCTCTGCCATATGGCTCAGCACTGCTTTTGGAAGCAGACAATATCCATTTGGGTGAAAAAAGAAACGGAGGCTCCGCGTTGGATGCTGTTTTGCTAGCAGGTCTGAGGCAGAGCAGATCTCCTCTTTGTACGAAGGTGGGGCAATAAATATCGGAGCGGGAGCACGCTCACCTAGAACAAACGCTGGGTCGGGATTTGGGAAACGCATGGTTTCTGTCTGTAGGAACAACTTGCTTGCTAGCCTAGAGCAAGTTACATTAGCCCACGCTAGAAAGGTTTCCTATTGAAATGGTAATGCGTACAGCCGAATGGGTTCAGTGTCTTAACTTTTCCTGATTCAAAGTTTTATCTGTGCAGATGTAAGTGGATTCAGGCCCCCTTTGAATTTGGTTTGTTTCTGTTAAATTCTCACATAAAATAAACAGCAATTCTCCTTGCCAACACACAGCACTGCTTCACAGGGGCTGCTTGAGACAGATTTATTTAGCTAGCTCCATGATCACCAGGTAGCGTTGGCATTATTGGTAGGGCATGGCTGCAAGCGGGCTGTTTTCACAGGGCAGAGCTTGCATTCACCTGTTTGCTATTACTCGAGTTGCTTGGAGATCACAAACACGCAGGCTCTGGCGAGATGTGTGGCTGCAGATCCAGCGTGCCCGGCACAGTGCAGTACTCCGTAAAGCAGCCTGCTCTTGCTTTGCCCAAAAAGAGCCCTTCAGCAGCAGGAGACATGCCCAAACGGTAAGCCATTGCTTTGTTCCTTGCATCTTTAGTAATTTAGCATTTGTCTTGAAATTTGTTATCTGAGCATATCTATCTCTACCAAAAGCAATGTCTTCCACTCTGTGTTGGCTGCTCTTTAATTAGTTTCCAGCGCTTCAGCAAATGCAACTAGGCTTTAAGTCCTAACGGAAAATAGGGAGGCCCTTCTGTGAGTCTTGCCGGGATAAAAGCTAGGTGTCTGTGCTCCGAGCTCTAGCGAGCGGGGAACGGCAGGTTGCGCTGTGCCTCTCTGGGGACAGGCTGAAAACCTAGAAACTTCCTGGAGCTCTTTCATGTGCTGGAGAAATGACTTTAAAACATGTTGAAATGCCCCTCTCAGGCAGTCAAGTTATTTAATAAGCATTTTTTAAAAGGGTAATTGCTTAGGTGCAGAATCAGGAGCCGTGGGATGTTGTGCGCTGCTTGTAAAGGATATCAGTCTTTCAGTTGTACAGGAAAGCTATTCTCCTTTTGGGGAATTAAACAAAGCATAGACACGAGCAAGCTCATTTGTGGAGAAACTGTATGCACTTGCGATCCATCAGGTGGTAACTGCCTCTCTTCTCTCTCGCTACCAGCATACCTATAGCCAAGCAGCTGGCCTCAATAAAAGGTAAGGCAACCCCATCGTTAAGCTGTGGGGGTTCGGTTTTTCAAAGGACACAGCCCAAGAGCAGTAAATGGTGGTGATTTAGCAGAGCTGCTGGAGGCCTTGCAGGTCCTGGGTCTGTGCAAGAAGAGAGGGTCTCGTGCGGATGTGATCCCTGTGCAGCATGTCCCAGCTCCCACACCCCAGGAGCCCAAATGCACCCGGGAGAGCGGCCAGCACGGCAGGTCCCCACAGCACGACAGGTCCCCGACGATGCACGAGGTTGGGGCAGAGCAGACATCCTGGACGTAGCCCCGCGCTGCTGCTGGTGCATGCCCTTACTGGGCTCGAAAGCCTCCCACGAAGGTGCGCGGCATCTCTGGGACACAAGGTGTGTTGGTGGCCCACTCCAAATAAAATCTGGGCCAGGCCCTCTGTGGGTATAAACAGTTGCAGGCTCATTAACTTTAATGAAACTACACTGATTTCCACCCACTCAGGATGTTTCTGACAGATTCCTTTCAATTATATCTCAAACAGCAGCCTATATCTCTTTCTTTCCCTCCAGCTCTTCGGAAAGGCTCAGACCTTGAAAAAGCTTTTGCTACTGCTGCTTTGGTGTATAACAACTCCGCTGACCCCAAGGGCAAACTCAGTAAAGCAGAAGCCAAAAGCCTGCTGCAAACCCAATTTTTGAGTTTCATGCAGGTGAGGAAGTTGCAGGGGTGCTGAGCTGGCGGCGTGCGGGCTCAGCAGGACGGTCTCCCCCCTATGCCCACCAGCCCTCCTCATGTGCTCTTGCTGCCGGGCAAGCCGTTTTGGGTGCAGGGAGGGCACCTGAGCTCTGTCCTGCAGCTAGGGGTGCACCCATCCGTGGGGCAATTGCAAGTGTGATTTTAGTGATTAGGTAAATACATCTCCAATGAATTAGGCACTGTGTTTTGAGCCTGTGTATAACACGGGGCTGAAGGAGGAGGGAGACATCGATAAACCACTGTTGACATGCCTGCCTGCATGTTCTTCAAGAAATAGGGCAACTGTAAGAAAATTTAAATTTAAAAAAAAAAATCAAACAATGACAAGGGACCATGCGATTGTGGGGAGAAAAAAACCCAAGCATTTATTTAAGAGTTCATTAGTTTGCCAGAGCACCAAACACCAGGGGGGACATGAAGTAGTAGCTACTAAAGCTATATATTTTGAACTCAATTGTTTCTGCAAACTTCCCAGTATGTGTTCAAGTGTCTGCCTTAAACATTAAGGCCGGGTGGGTTTGTGTTCACTTCCTCTCCCTGGTCTGATCGAAACAGGACTCCACTTCTTGCAGCAGTGTCCTCTGTAGCCACTGATACACTACTGCAGTTACCGATTATGCTCGTCACTGCCAGGTTTCCAGTGAAGAATAGGTCTCTTTTAAAAGATGTATTCTGGATTTGGGCAGAGACTGGGGACTAGTAGTTCTTCTATCTATCTGATTGCAGTAATATTTCTAGTTGAATTTCTTGGGATATCTTCAGGAAAAAACAATATGAATGTGGAAAGAAAGGAACTTCATGCTAAATATCTTTCATTAAAATTCTCCATAGGGCCAAGAAAGCAAACCAAAATACCAGGAAATAATTTCTGCCCTGGATGAGGAGTCAGAGAACAAAATTGATTTTGAAGACTTCATGATCTTGTTAGTCAGTCTTGCTCTAATGTCTGACCTGCTGCGGGAGATCAGAAATGTGAAAACCACAAAGTGATCAGTGCTATAAAAGAAGAAATAGCTACGCACATTATGAGGAAAGTTTCATACAGTGAAGCACACAGAGATAATACTAAATGTCTGGATACCTTATGCTCTTTCCTTCTAAATGGAATAAAGCCTTGTTTGAACCTGGGTGAATTCAATCCTGTGCAGAGAAATAAATCGTAGGCTGTGTCCCAGCAGGAGCAGGTCTGTGGAGTGAAACAGTGGTGCTGAGGACCTCGCGCATTGTGAGGATGCACTTTGGACCGCCTCTGGGCTGGTCCCAAGGGCTGAGCGGTGATGGGTGGCTGGAGCACCTCCTCCTGCTCCGCTTCATCCCACAGGACTGCAGTCCGTGCTCTCCAAGCCCAGGCGTGGCCCGTGGGGGCGATTGGAGGTTGCTGCAGGAGCACGCTCCTGCCCAGGCTGAAACGGGGCTGCTGGCATGCCGTGGCCAGCTGGCTCCCCATGGCTCTCTGTTAGCCCCGGCATACTTAAGCCTTGGGTCTTACTCCCAACAGGCATAACTTCTCAAAATTGGCAGCAACAGGGAAATATGTTGCAGCCTTTGGTAAATGTTGACTTTACTCTGTGTGGTTTCTGCCCCACCATTAGCCTTTCTGAAAGGAGTATGTACTTTTTTTTTTTTTTCCCAGCTGACTTGTCGTAATGCTTATTGAGTGATCACTGTTGAGGAAATTGAGTCCAATGCTTGCAATGTCTTTGGTAGTGGAGCTGTTATATGACTAAAGGGCTGACTTAATTAATCATGTCAGCCTGCTAAGTCCATTGCTTCATGAAACTGTGAAGAGGAGAAACCAGAAAAGCTGAGAGACAGTCAGGACAATGGATGGTGGGAAAAGGACAGCTAATAAAGTGTAAGTAGTGGAACTGAGTGATCCTGGCTGCCCAGGCATGGGCTTGGGCAGGGCCAGATCCTCAGTAGTAAACGTTCATGATCCTAGTCTTTGTTTTTATTCCCACCTATAAAGTCTTGTCTCACAACCAATATTTAGCCTACTGTAATATCCTTTTGAGGTACAAAAAACAGTCCTACACCTCAGTAACAGAATATCTTCTGTAAGAATTTAATCACCTCTAACAAGGCAGTGAAGGTGACTGAGCCAACAAAACAGTGCAGCCCCTTTAATTTTCTCTTCTTCCTTCTCTGAAAAGAAAGAGACGAGAATGATTTAGTTTTGGTGCTTGTTTTTTTAAGTTTTTGAAGAATCAAAAATTAGCACATTCATTGCCCTTTAAATCAACACTATCTGAGTAACCAGATTTAACTCAATGACTTAAAAAGTCTCTGCTTCCAGAAGCCAACAGGATGTTTTGTAGTGGATGTCAACGCAAAAGAAAGACATGTTGCAGTAGGAGGCTTGCAAATAAGTTCTTCTGCGAGAGGAAGGTCTGTGTCTTTGCGCAGTATCAGGAGGTGTTTGTGCAACGTGGGACAGAGCTGAAAGAAGGAACATGAATGGATGTGGTGGATTTTGAAGTGAAACTCAACAGGTAGGGTGCTGCTCGGTGGCATCTGTCCCTGGGCCAGCGCCTGGCGTAATGAGCTGACCTACAAGCTAAACATTCATAAACGTTGTTTCCTACAAATATAAACTGGGTTTAGCTAAATCCCTGGCTCTGATGATGCAACGCCAGAATAGGCACTACCACGGCCCTGGCAAGAAGTTCTGGTTTTCTGAGAAAACCAGAAAGCATTTGTTTCTGGCTGTTTGCTTGCTCGTGGGGATACTGGTCCTGCACAGATCCCACTGAGGGAATGGTGGGTCTGCGGCACCGTGCTGCAAGGCCCAGCTCTCCCAGCCGACCGCCTCTGTGGGGCAAGCGCCAGTGCTCCCATAAACAGCACTGGGCAGGCACAGGGTTGGGGCAGATGAGCAGCGTCTCTTAGTGACTGATCCCTCCAGGCTGGCCATCCTCTGAAGTTGACCTTGGCCAAGTTAGCCCGGTTCAAAGTGAGAACGTAATGTGGCAGCGTAGTCCATGCAGGTATCACAGAGATGGATGTTTTTGCGAGGTAGATGCAACTTCAATAATTTATCCCTAATGTTTCTCACTCTCTTCCCCCCGTCCCCTTATTTTTTGGCTAGGCAGAAGATCTGTGAAAGCTTAAAACAATCAGCCCAGGGTAAAAATATGGATTGATTGTGAGAGTCCCTAGTAGGCTTTTCCCATTACTAAAGTAAAGAAAACACTGCACAATCCTGAAAAGCATGTTTGGGAGCCACTGATGACTTTAAAAGCATGAATTTCATAATACGTCTCTGTTACAACAAAAAGCGGAAAGGAACAATATTGTGAAGCCAATTAAGAACAAGTTCTTTGAAATTGTTAAGGCCCTAACACAACTTCTGTTATTGCTGAAACGTTTCTTCATCTTGCGTGACTTGAATTAATGACTTAAGAGCCTTTTATCAGCTCAATTCACTCTGTCACCTCATCATATGCAAGCTCTTCTTATTCTAATGCGCTATGTGTTTTGTACTAGCATCTAGAGCCCCTGGCTTCAGTCAAAAGCCTCTTGCTCTAAGCGCAGCAGAAAGCCAAAGTTAGAGGCAATTCCCAAACAACTCAATAGGCAAGATATTCAAGTGGTAGGAAAGCAACCAGAGGCACAGAGAAATCAAGTGCCTTGCTCAACATGTGTGGCAGAGCTGGAAGTAGGAGCTGATCTACCTTGGGCTTCTCACGAAGGCCTGGATGGCAGACCATGACTTTCCAAAGGGGCAGTGATGTTTTCTGCAAGAGTTTCTGAGCAAAGTGAATGAGATATGCAAGGTGTAATCTGCAGCAGTCTTTGAAGGTCCTGCCTGACGCTCAAAATGAGAAGTACGTGCTTGGAGGAGCCGCAGCACCTTCTCATACCTAGGCGTAGGCAGAAGTTTGCAGCTCAGCTATGGAAGATGCTCTTTTATTAGCTCAGACTATTTGTGGCTGCCCTGAGCACTCTCAGCTAACGGCTTTGAAGCTGATCTGGCATAGACAGCATGTCTGGCTGCATCCTTGGGGAGCTGTCTAAAAGCTAGCTTAAAAGGCTGCTGTAGTGTTTTATTTCATTCCTAGCTTGCTCCTATTGGAAACAATGGGAGTTCATCATCGATTTCACATAGCAGAGCCCACGCAAGTGCTAAGGAGTTGAGCAGGCAGCTAAACTGATGAAATCCACAGGCTCTTCTGCCTTGACAAGTGCAAATAGCATATCAATGTATGATCCCCCCGGCAGCGAAGACAGCACTAAGAGCAGCTTGTCAAAATCTGACCTCAGTGGGCTGGGGTCGGGTGGGGTTTTTTGCAGCTGCACTGTTCAGGTGCAAATCACCACCCTGGGGAGGCTCTGCAGACTCCAGATCTGAGTTTCAAGTTGTGTTCTGAAAAGCCTGAGTCATCCCCACAGTTATGTGAGCTTTCAAATGACTATCAGAGGAGAAGTGAGAGTCAGGGAGAGCTGGACTAAAACCTTCAGCTTCAAGTCTTCAGCTTCCATTTGCAAATATCAGCTCAGGAAGGCAAGTTCATTCTCATATTTTAATTGGCACACCTAGAGCTACAGCTTCTCCTCATGCCTTTTTACTTCAGATCTTGCCTTAACTGTATGGTCTGCTGAACTTGGAAGGTTTTGCAAATCTGGCTTTAGTCTAATCTCTGAGGTGTTCTCCCAGGTGGTAGGGGATTCCTCGGGACCCAGCCCCTTGATGCTCAATGGGTGGGTCACGGCAGAGCTTTGCATGTTGAGCTTTCTGCCAGGAACCTAGGGCCATGTGCACCGTGTGTCCAATCTTGCATGTATTTTTTAGCCAAGAGACAGGTGCTCCTCAGCTGGCTTGCTGTTATTGGGCCGTCAATAAAACCTCTTGTCTGGGGTGCTGGGGCCCTGGTTACAAGAGAAACTTTGCAGTCGGAGATAGACGTTTTGCCTGCTCTGTCTCCTCCTCCTTCAAAGTAAGTCTTGTGTTACTTTTTCACATCAAATAAGAATTGCCTTGGCTGCACACGCTTTCCAAGCAGGTGCGTGATGCACACACTCACCTCAATACTTCCATGTATTTTGGCCTGTGAGAGCTTCCTGGGCAGCTGTTTGCATCATGCACTCAAGCACTAATTGCAGCAGGTCACTTTGCACAGAGGGATACAGGTTTGCACCTTAGCCACCCCTGGCAGCAGTTACATTGCGGCTGCATAGTAGAAAAACCCTCTTCAGGAGCGCTGGAATGACTCAGAGAGATGGTCCATGGTGCGTTCCCTCAGGAGTTCACTACAGGGCAGATGAAAAGCTTTGTCTCAGAATTACGTTCTCTCCAAAGTGTTATAGATTGTTAGCCACAAAGGAGCACTCTGAAACACTTCTGGGAAAAAATAAAATCTATTTGTTTCAAGCTCAGTCAGGGAAGGTAGATAAAGAAGAAACAGTGAGTTTTATGGCTTTCCGAACTGACAGTTTTAATTCCTGCATTGGCTTTTATTGCAGTCATTGGTTTGCAAGGTTTCCAGTGAAGCTATAAGCATCTTTTCTTCTTGCCTTGTTCATCTGCTGCTCCCTCACCCCACAAGTGTTTATAGTACTAGTTCTGAGTCCTCGCTCAGCAAAGGTAAACAGTAAATGATGTTCAACAGCCAGATATATCAGGCTGTCTCTCTAATCCCCAACCGCACACATCAGCCATTAGACTTAGATAGATTCAGAGCCATGGGATTTATCTTTTATTCATTGTTATTGTAGGAGTGAATTTATGCTATGCATATCCCTAACGAGAGCCAGTCCCAGCCTCCAACACAAATAGAGGAGGTGAAACCATAATTCCCATTTGCTCCAGCTGAGCACCAAGAATCTCATGGGTTCAGCCCAAGTCTGCGGTTGGTTTTGCATAGCCAGTTCAGTGCCTCGTTCATCATTCCTCCTGTTCAAAGCACCTAAAAAGGCTGCCCTGTAAAGGCTCTCCTGCAGAGCAAACCAAAGGCGGTCCTCAGTTCCAGTGGGCTGGAAAGCAAATGGAT